TGAAGATATCAACGTGAAATGAACAAACCTAAGAGAGGTCTACCCAAGGTACATATACACCAAGTATCAAAGCATTCAGGCTTGTAGTTTTCAAGAAGAAGTCGAAAAAGTAAAACATTGACACGAACGACGACGACGGACAATCACTCATATGATAAGCTCCGCTCGACAAAGTCGACAGCGGAGCTAAAAATCAACATATCTTACCTCCTCTCGCCTTCGTTGTTCTGCTTCCTGTTGTCGTTGTTTTTCGGCTTCCTCTTCTGCATTAACTTGAGCCTCCTGAACCAGAAAACAAAGCGTAAGTAGCAATCACAAATAAAAATCAAGCATCAACCTAAATATCCTTTAAAATGTGCTTCTTTTCCAAAAATGAAAAAAATTACTTTGCAGAAAAGTAAAAACATTCAAAAAATAGCCTTAGTAAATCAAGTATACCATGTAGTGATTACTGATTCACATATTAGCTTGAATTGATAAATACCTTAACATTACTAATTTGAACTGAAGCACAATTTTAATAGTTTAGGTAGGATGCTCTAGCTATAATCTACATGAATACACACTTCACTCGATAGGGAACAAGCAAGTGCCACTGAGAAACACACATCTGAGGACGTTCCACACAGGATTGGAAGCAAAACAAATATGTGGAGTTGAAATCACTCTACAAACAAGAGAGACATCCACATAGCAAGCAGAGGGGGAGGAGGAAAGAAAAATATAAGTAATAATGAAAGTAAAAAAAAATCCACAAACCACCAGTGTTAGTGAGGAACCAGGCAAACCATATTCGCACGCAAAAGCCACTACTTACTTCAGCTGCAGGAGCCTCCTCTGCAGGAGCCTCCTCAGCAGGGGCCTCCTCAGCAGGGGCCTCCTCTGCCTCATCCTAATTTACATTGTCATCACATTTACAAGAGAATGGGAAAATAAATGACAAGGAAAGTAGGAAAACAATTTACAAAAACAAAGGAAAAACAATTTGGGTAATAGGGATTATACAATTACAAGAAAAAGAAATAATACATAAAAAATCAAATAATGTTGCAATAAAATTGAAGAAATTATATATTAAATTAATGCAATAAATTAATGAAAGCTAGACAAAGCAGCACAGTGAAATAGTGTTTGGTTACATCTGTTCACTGGGTCTCACTATAGAAAGCATGCACACATGAAAACAAAAATTGGGATTTAAATCTATGCCAAGATTAACTGGCATAGAAGGTATGGAAGGGGGTATATGTATGAAGGTATGTCAGCACCTAAGGTGGCTTTGTCTGTTAAGTTGACAGTTGGTAAATATGAACACCCAAGTCAAAATTGGTGGTTGATTCTCAATATAAACAATATTAAAGTCTGCATATGGTTCAAGTAACAAGAAAGTACATATACGTTTTAGTAGTAGTGAGACAGATGGCTTAAAAGAATAGGAATAACATTCCACAGCAAGACATGAAGAGTTTTGATAATCCACAGATGTACTAGAAAAACTAACTTTGGTTTGAAAGTGGAATTGGAAGTGAGTGGTATACTAGTATGACAAGATGTGAAGTGTTATGTAGTTTTCCATCCAACATGGTCAATTTACAGATTGAGAAGGCGAAAGAAAAGTATCCATTGAGTTGATTTTTTGTAATGACAGACATTGCCCAATCAGTATGTAATGGCAAGATGCAGTGTTATCATGAAGATTTTCAGCCAATATGGTAAGAAATCCAATTTACAGATTCTGAAGGCCAAACAAATTCCCATTGATTGGTACTAGCCATTCCTGACTTTCTGCAATAACAGACACTGCCCAATCAGGTCATTTTGTACAAGGTACAGAACTACTTATTTTTAATGAGTTCAAGTGACAGTGGTAATGGCACTTAAATAATGACATCTACAACTTTGTGTATGTCATTTGATAAAATGTCAAGGGCGAGGAGATGCAAAATTATTAATTCAAGAGTAATACAGGTGATGTGTAAATAAATCTGAATCAAGCTGATTTGTGAGCACACAAACACTGCTTTATCACCATACAGACTGCATCCCTAGTGACTTGAGGACAAAGAATGTATATAACCACGTTTTACTGTCTGGTAAGTTAAGTTAACTAAACTTACATTGCTGCTCCTGATCTGTGCCTGGAAATGAGTTATTTCCATTTACACATCAATCTGTACTATGAATACAACAAACCCATTCCCATCATTTTTATAAATATGTATAAATTTCAATGGCAGTTGTATACAACCAATCAATCAATCAAATGTTTTTTTTGTGTCATAGTCGCAGTTGAACACAATTACGATTATTTTTTAGGGGAATGTGATAAGACAAGTGTCATGAAAAAAACATAATCTATGATAGAGATTTTATTTGAATAAAAAATCAATACATCAGAGGAAATTTGGGAGAGAATACTTGCAAAATGCATCTGAGGAAGTTCCACACAAGATTGGAAATCAAAACCCCATATGTGGAGTCCAAATCACGCTACAAACAAGAGGGGCATTCACAAAGCAAGCAGAGGGGGAGGAGGAAAGAAAAATATAAGTAATAATGAAAGTAAAAACAAAACCACCAGTGTTAGTGAGAAACCAGGCTAAACCATATTCACACACATAAGCCACTACTTACTTTCGCCACAGAAGCCTCCTCTACGGGAGCCTCCTCTGCAGGGGCCTCCTCTGCAGGGGCCTCATCCGCAGAGGCATCATCCTGATTTACATTATCAACACATTTACAAAAGGACGGGAAAATAAATGACAGGAAGACAGTTTACATAACAAAGGGAAGATGATATGTGTAATTGGAATAACAATTGAAAGAAAAAAGAAATAATAAACAGAAAATTAAATAATTGCAATAAAACTGAAGAAATTATATAATAAAAGCAATGCATTGAATTATTATGCAAATGAAAGCTAGACAAGGAAGCGCAGTGAAATAGTGTTCGGTTATATCTGTTTACTGGGTTTTACTATAGAAAGCATGCAAACAAAAATTGGGATTAAATCTATGCCAAGATTAAATATAACTGGCATTAGAATGTATAGAAATATGGATGCATGTCAGCACCTAAAGGTGGCTTTATCTGAAAGTGGCATTTACAACTGGTAAATATGAACACCTAAGTCAAAATTGGTGGGCAATTCTCAGACACACACACAGCAGAGAATATGAACAAAGAGTAACAGGTAACCTTGGCAATAAGTCTGCATATGATTCATGTAACAAGAAAGTACATGTACGTTTTTAAATGCAGTAGTAGTGAAACAGATGGCTTAAAAAGAATAAGAAAAACATTCCACAACAGGACATAAAGAATTTTGAAGTTGTACTAGGAAAACCACTTGAATTCAAAGTGGCATACTAGTAAGTTATCGCAAGGTGTGTAGTGTTTGAAGTTTCCCAGCAAACATGGCAGGTTAATACATCAAATTTGCAGATGGAAAAGGCAAAACAAGAATTCCTGTGTTGAATCAATTTTTTGTAATGACTGACATTGCACAATCAGGACATGTACTGAATACAAAACTAGTGACAGTGGTGCTAGTGCTTCAATAACACAAACAATGTGCATGTCATTTGATAAACTCAGAAGTGCAAATATATGTAAAGCGTGAATGAATCAAATCACCTCCCCCCCCAAGCCATAGGGTATGGGATAAACACAGACTGCATTAGTACCCCTTGTGACTTGGGGACAAAAGGAGTGTAGATAACCACGTTGTAACTGTTTGCAAATTTTGATTGGTAAAATGTCTGTTAAGTTAACTAAACTTACATTGCTGTACTCCACATAGTTATTTTTATATACCGTACAAACAATCAAAGTTGAAACAGTTACAAGTAGGTGGAGGAGAATTGTGATAAGACATGAGACAGGAAAGAAACAAGGTCTATGGTACAGAGCTTTTATTTTAATAGAAAATGAATACATCTGAGGTAATTTGGAAGAGGAGCAGTGACTGGAGTGACTGGAGTGAATGAGACAGAGAGTGAGACACTAGTTTGATCTTTGCTACCTCAGCTCGTCGCCTCTCTTCTTCCTCCTCTTCTTCTCGTTGCCGTGCTTCCTCTTCCTCTCGCCTTTTAGCTTCTTCCTCCTCCTGTCTACGGGCCTCCTCCTCCTGACTACGAGCCTCCTCCTCCTGCCTACGAGCCTCCTCCTCCTGCCTTTGCCGTTCTTCCTCTTCTTCGCGTTCCTTGCGCCGTCTTCGCCTAGTACTGAAGTCTTCTACTGGCTAATTGTTTAGTTAAAACATGCATTACATTAAATCAGAATTAAAAACACTACAAGTAATAGTCAGTGTATTGAAGATGCATTCATCAATACCTACCAATTATGTCAGAAATAAAAGTCTCAACAGACAGAACAAATTAGAATGATTCATGCCTTGATTTCACTGCATTCAATCGAAAAAAAATATTGTAATTTTAAATCGCATGCCTAGATGAGTTAAACGCAATTCATATAAAAGCTCACAGGATACATTGCACTTAACATTGTTTAAGTGCTTAGTCACTGCAACTGCAATGCTGATAACAGCCAAATACCATCACAACAAGACTTTCAAGAATGGATGCATAAATTAATTGATTTCTCCTGAAAATGTTAAACAGCTATCTACACAACATTCATCTTATTAACTCATTTTAGAATTTGTTTCCTCATGCTGTATTGGCATAGCAACAATTTAGAAACATGCACAGTCTTCCAGAACAGAGCTTAGCTGTTTTGTGGAATTCACAAAATGTCCGTTGTCACTAGAATTGCGAAGCACGAATTGGTAAAACTGATGTAGAGATGATCTTACTACATTTTGTACACTTGCGCCATAACCGACATGATCCAATAGCAGATTCCAGGGGATTGGTATCCCTCACTTGAATGCACACACTGGGAGATGAACAGGTCTGCTGAATTAATTTATTTGCTGACCAGTGTTGGGTAACAAAACCAACAGGGTTTCCATTTGAATGAAAAATTGTAGTTGGCATGACAATAACACCTCAGATGACACGATTTATAACCATGTAGTGTTCTTGTAGTTTGGTGGACAACACTCAACTCAGAAATGACAACAGCAATTCATAAACATAAAGCACATACAATACACTGAACAGGTTTAACAAATGACAATTATTTCTCACCTCTGCTGGGCCATTGGCTCCATTTTCCTGTTCCCTGCAAAACAAAGTTGTACTTGGTCAACTTCAGAGTTCACAGCGCAACCTCAATACATACTAACCACATGGAGACTATGCACAATAATATCATTTTGTGTTCTGCATTCATGTACCATAGTCAAATGTCAACCACACAAAGGTTGATTAATCTTTTGGAAAATGTGTCCTAATGACCAATGAAAATGGGTCTTACACAAATTTTCGGGAAGTAATAAAAGACTTTGTGATGATGAGAATTCTGTATGTGACAATTTATAGTCAATTTTTGTATTTTTGCATAGAAATATGGGTTCATCTTGTGACAAAAAGTAAATTTTGAGTGATGTATCTCAATCATTATACAACAAATAACCAAGACCTAATTTTATTTGTTTTTTTTTCAGTTTCAAAAAACAAGTGCTTCTCAGTAGACGGAACATATTCAAGGTATCATATGATATTCTGTTGTAAACGCCTAAGCTTGGTATTAGAATGCTGCCGAGTGAAACAAACAAGAAATACAAGCCATCATTGTGTAGATGGAACACATTCCATATACATGTCATTGCTGTGAATAATAAACATCTGTACTCCACATCAGTCTATAGGTACAAACTGACCCCTGTATTCATTTGTATTAGTAGTAATAGTTAGAAAATAAAGGATAAAAGACTGCTGGAGGGTAGAAAAACAAGTTAGCCAACCATGAGTACTATAAGAGACACAGTGGAGATAAAAAGATAGGCTTCACCCCATTTCCCAATAGAATCAACACTCCATACAATGGAATGTATCATTCTTTACTGGGAATATGGAATGAAAGAAAGGGGAAAATCAACAGATTCCATTACAAACTGTTTCAATGGCTACTGTTTTATGCACGCACAATTCCCGAAGTCGTCTCCTTTCTTCTCGTCGACGCCGTAATGCTTCTAAATCAGCATCTACTGATGAGGTATCATTTTGTCCAGCCAACCTGGAGTAAATAAACAACCATGCAACAAACATGCAGCTAAGTTAGTAGCTTTCTAGCGATGTTAATTAATTAATTAAACTGTTTTATATAAACTGTTATTACTATTATTAATTATATGATGGGAATGCATAGATTTATAGTAACACTATGGGGTTTCAAATGCAATGAGATAAAAGAAAGTTAATCAACTCTTATAATGCCGTTATTGCTAAGGGATGACACAATGTTGACAGCAGAACAAGTTCTGTACTTAGTTATTCAATAAATACCTAACTGAATGAGAATAGTTTATATATAAAGTTTTAGTGATCTGAGAAATTTAAAATGAAAGTCAGTCATGGGACATTTATAATCTAAACAAATAGTTTATAAATGACTGGGAGCAATTAAACAAGATACATGTATTTCAGTTTTAATTTTTATTATCATTTTTTTTTACATGAAATTATTTTCATTACCATCACGAAATACAAAACTTTCCGACCGTCTGTGCTATCTTTGAGTTTGGTAGTGGTTATGTAACAAAGGGTGATATGAAAAAACTTAGTGATGATTACCGAATTATGGTGAATTATATGAAACATGGTGAATTGTTATAATTGTCATATGATGCATGGTTGCGTCATGGTGATATGTACAACACTTTTGAACTGTTACATCTGATGTTATGCAGATGATAAACTTCTGCTGAAGTTACATGATTACTAACATGAAACCCATGGACATGTTTTTTAGTATATGACAGGGCCCAGGTTCCAATTAAGCAACCCGGTTCTAAACTGACATGAACCAGATCACGATTTGGATTTATTAATCATATTCAACACTTTATTTCAATATTACATTACAGAACAAAGTAGAAAACAACTGTCTTTTCAGTGCATCAAAACAATGGTACAAATGTCTTTTCTCCGATGTACTCCAATATACACAGCAGCATGTAATGGGTTGACATAGTGCTCACTGATTTTTCAAACTAGTGGCAGATGCAATTTTAAAACAGGCGATACAACAAATGACAATGATCTGATTATTGGGTCATTGTTATGCAATTGAAACTTAGCTCGTGAATATTAAGTACTAGTAAGTAGCATTGCTTAGCAGTGAGAGATGAAAAACAAGGTGTGTGTGATTGTTAATCTAAATGTCATGTGTACCACACTCAAATTCCTCTAAGCATAGAGAGCCTAGATCAAGATTCTGGCACAGATGCAGTTAAGAGACAAGGCTGATATGATCCAGAGTGTCAGGTAGCATAATACTGGTATCTCAGAGAAATTTGAATGTGCATGTAACTAGGTGAATGTGCATTGATCAATGAAAATGAAAAAGACAATGACAAAAATATATATTACAACAATGGTGATGTCAAATGTCAATCAAAAAGTGAATTCTATAAACAGTTCTCCAGTTAATGCATATCTACAATGTGTTTAGTTAAAACATGAATTTCTATAAAGCTAGCTGGGATAACAGACACTCTATAGACCAGCTTGCTCCATTTACTCATACATGTACACAAATGGTTGCTATTCTTTGCAAATAAAACTTTAATTCAATGAAAACCATGAAAATGGGGAAACCATGAAATTCTGCAAACTTACTTTTCGGCTTCCCTCCTTCTCCTGCGTTCTTCACGACGGCGAGCTCTCTCTTCTGATTCGTCTCCCATGGTTATTATTTAGAAAGATCTGTAGTGAAGAAAATTAAAAAAAAATTAAATACCAAGTAATGAATTAATTGAGATGTATACTCAATAGTGTGCTGTCATATATGACCCGTATTTATTACAAGAAAGTATCTTTAGGCACTACTGTAGAATACTTTATTTTCGCTTGGAATTTATTTTCACTATTTTCGCTGAAGGGATGATTCTGTGAAAATAAAACCAGCGAATATACTTTTTTTCCTATATTTCACATTAAACTCATCAAAAATCAGTGAAAATAAATTCCATACAAAACGCCTAAAACGCCTTTTCAGCGAAAATTAATTCCAGCGAAAATAAAGTATTCCATAGTATTTGTATACTGCAATGCTGAGCTTAGATTTGCTTAGTAACAGAAAGCAAGTCACAGAGGCAGATCGTTTTTCAAACGCAGCTGACAATTCATTCACACCAAGCTGAATTTTGAACCATTTCATTAGTGTACAATTGCGAACACTAACACTAATATTGCAATTTGTCTTGTATGAAATTAAAGCACTTTTCAATATACATGTATCAAAACACCAATGGCAGGAAATTAGGAATGCAATAAACACACACACTTCCATATATTAAATTCACACACAAACACAGAACATGTGATTGATACGAAAATGTATGTAATACACTGGCCAACTTACAGAAGTGTACATTTGTATATTATTAGAGCTCAACTAGCAAATGTTACAGACAACAATTCCATATATTAATAATATATCTGTGATCATAAGACAAACTAATTTTGAAAAAGTCAGAATATTTATAAATACACAAAGAAAAATAACTGAGATTCTGTTTTACAAAAGGGAAAACAGAGAAGACAGAAAGGCTAATCCAGAAGATCCTCTAAAATGTACACCAGGTTAATACCTCCCTGCTTCAATCTACACTCAAAAATCAATGTTCATGCAAACAGGATCAAGTTTCTTTAGCTTGCCAGATTAAGGCAAAGAAATAATATACAGGAATATCTATGAAAGCCTTAAGACTAAATACAAAGCTACCATTGTTGGTTCACTGCGTACTTGTATGTATACCACCAAGAGGTGGTATACTCGTACAAGAACAGTTAGATAGCCATACCTACATCACATACTCATACCATACAGCTTATAATACAAGGTACCATTGCCAGAATAATAAAAATCATCTCAATATTTCATGGCGCAATACAATAATTATAATCATTTAAATTACGGTGGTAAAAAATTATACAATCTTAACTTCAATCTCTGTAAAAATTTTTTTGCTTGAGACATAGGTTTCAAAATTTGGACACAACAAAATATTGATACAGTTGACTCAACCTGGACCCCCTCCCCTCCCCTCCTTGCATATGTGTCTGAAGTTTTACGAAACATTCAGTAAGCTAATCACATACTGTGAAGTAGCAGAATGCTAAACAAGTTGGAATTCTTGCAACATATTTTTAGTCTCTTATCTGCATATTTCAGCTGTAATAACAGAAATATTCCTTTTTTTAAAACTATTTTATTGTTTTTAAGTATGAACAATATATTGACAAGTCATGTATAACCTTTGATTTCTTGCATCTCATTACTATTATACAATGTCATTTTATTCTACTGATGTTTAGATAGATCTAGCAAGTTGCACATCATAATATTTAAAGAAAATCAGCGATGATTTTTGGCCAATCCTGCGGCAAATCCTTTAGTGTTACATCTGGTGAGTCACTGAAAACTTGTTTTTTGTGCCATATTTGGATACTGAGCAGTATAAACACTGATACATTGTAGGAGGTCACTGACTAGAACCTTCTTCACAAGGAGATGATTTACATGTGACAAAAATGAAGGTAGCACACATATTGAACTATAAAATAAGCAGACCACATACAAACATATCAATGTTTTTATACTAATAACAGGAACTTGTAAAAGTTTATGGTACTTGATAAAAGTAGGTTTGTCTGGTGGCAAACAATGAATGGAAAAGAATCCTGTAGCACAAATGACATGAGGTTGACCTTGTTTCACTGACCGCATTTGTGCTGCTCACATCAAAAGGAAACATCAATACTTCACATAAATCTACATATTCAATATTCCCTGTCATGCCATTTTGGTTTGACAATTTCAAAATGATTGGTTACGTAGATTGAATGTCACAAGCACTGCAAGTTTCAGATTAAACTAAATTGCTACAAAATATAATAATTTTGCTGTTAATGATGGAAATCTGTTGAAAATTGCCTGGAACAGCATGAACTATGCAGTGTTCTATCATTCAGACCTATCCTTCTTGAAGGCCCCTCCTCTCACCCATATATAATATAATACATAAGTGATACTATAAGAATGTATGTGAAATTTGATTCTTTCACCATAAATTTCAAAGAGATCAAATTATTAAAATAAAATAACGACATCAAGTGTATTCATTCGCCGTTTAACTTTTCCTACTCTTGGATATGTTGGCTTCATATCCGTATTTGCATATTTGCAAAATTCTATTGCGTTTTTTCACAAACCTCGTGCAAACCACCGGTATACTCTAACTTTAACACCAAAAAACGTGCTTGAAATTTGTGATTTTCGGACAAAAAAAACAACCTAATGCAAAAAATAGAAATACGGATTTAAACTTCATGACCTTTGCTTCAAAACAGTGTAAAGTTTTTGATCGCATGAATGACTGTAGAGATGACAATTAAAATTTTATTCACGTTAGTTAAATTATCAGCCCCGCTGATTTTCAGAATCACGTGACGCTAAAACAAACACAATGTTCACAAAATATTAATAGTAGGAAAATACAAGACAAGAGCTTTCTAAACATATATAGATTGTATGGTTTCTTGTAAAATTTATTCCGATTATAGGTGTTTACATTTTTCATGCAAAAAAACTATCCTGCTACCTTAAATAGATTCACTCTTCAATTATGTAGGTTTTACGCAAACAAATTTTCACAAATTATGTAACCAATAAATTCATACAGTCAAAAAACTGGGTCATGGCAATTACTGAAATGGAGTTATGCAAAACACAAACTTTCATTTGTCTTTTAGTTCTAAAAGTTTCAAGTAAATATGATAATTGTTACATTGGAGATAATAAATTTAAATCCCTTTTTATGTGCAACTTTGGCATAGTATTAATACATGCATCTGCCATTCAGGGCAATTAGTACAACAGAATTCAGCTCACAAATCCACCCAAGATGCCTCAAGCAAATTTAGCAAGGGTTTACACACAGTGCACACAAGACAAAATACACTACCGGTAATAAGCAGAACTTCTAGTAAACAGTCAATAAAGTTAAAGTCCAGTTTTTAGCACTATTGATCTTCTTGGCCACAGTTGAGGATACCCCCTCTATGGGCCTCACACTTAGAAAACTATGCTTTTTTTAAATTAACAGTGTTAGCAACAGATGAATTGATATATTAGCACATAAAGTCAAAAGATTTCTGCAAAAATATGATAAACATGATAGAAAATGCAACATACTATTGATCAAAGGGAAATACTTGCAGAGAGAGCCATAGCTGAACAGAAATTCCAGAACGAAATACCAACACCAAATATGGAAATAATCCATGGAATACAGAAGAAATACACTTCTAATGGGAAAATAAAGGAATGTTTTGGGTAAAATTGGAAGGAGAGACTGACTAAGACTAAGCTGGTAAACAATTCAGAATGATCGTAGAGTTATACCTGGAATAAGTTTGAAGATGAGACTGAGATTCCTTCACCACAGCAGCTAGGAAGGAGGTTGCAGAGAGCTCAGGCAAATGAGAACTGTCAGACAAGACAGAGACAGCCAGCCAACAAACCCTATTAAGTTACAGTTCAGAAACTCAGCTGTTACTCCACATTCATTGGCTAATGCAAATCACATGACCTCCCAACATTTTTCTTAATATAATGAATTAGGGCATTATTTTGATAGGCAACATCCAAAGATGAAGGAAAAAATATATAATTGCTAAAACAACTATTAACACGGCAGAGAACCTTCTGTTTTTAGTTTTTTTTTGTTTAACTTAAAGATCAAACTCCTATAGGTCAAAGTTGACATTCCTGGAATACTTTTAGTGACTGCCTTTTAAAAATGGATTCTAACCCTTGTAAAACATCCTGCATGAAACCTAAATGGTTGTATGAAACTTGACTTCTGTCTGACCTAACACACCATGACAAGCCGGACATGGAAAACAACCTTTTTTCTCAAATTAAAAAATCATATGGAACACTTTAAAGCAGTCTTAATCTTCAACATATTCCACATACCATAATAAACCTAAGATGTATAGCTGTCCAACTTGAGTGGAATGAATGGCGAGGAGATGTAATAATAACTGTGTGTAACATTATTTTCATCATCCAGACTTATACAATACATAGGCAACAACTTGAATACATGTAGTACATACTTTAACAGTGGAATCCTGAATTGATTATAAAAAGATTTATTTTAATGCATTGTCTGCTGAAAGCCTCTCTATATGGCCAATATGAATGGTATATAACAGCGTAAGCTAGGGATGTGGTAAGTATATTTAAATTCCTACAAAGATTGATAATATTTTTCAAGACACTGTGTACGACAGCAGCCCTACATGTAGTTGATTGAAATTCGAGTATAAAGGAACATGCACGAAAATAAAATTCCCAAGATCTGACCCAAATACTGTTAACAATACCATCACAAACATGTACTTGAAATTTATAAATACTACTTTAGCTGTCGCCATCCAAAGTGAGCTCTGTACAAAAACAGTTTCCAATTACTTACATTATAAAGACTAAAAACACATAACCCAACCTACCCAATTATTATCGGAGGAAATAAGAGATTCAATTAATTAAAGCATTCAAATATCTATAAAACACCTATATTTAACACACACAGAATGAGCAGCCCTCCCTACATTGTTAGAAATGAATGATTTATTTCATTTCCAGCGACCCATTACATGGACAATTGAAAATGATTGTATATCCCATACCT